TATACATGTTTAAGCCAGAATGATTTGACATTTAAATATGATTTCCCTACGACTTTAAATGTGAAAAAAAGAAAAGAATCAAGTTAGCAATGTCTTTGCAACCGCTACTCCAACCCGGCACTGCAAGCATAGAGTCTATCTACTCCTTTGAACCAATTAAACTTAGATTATGTCAAAAGTCAGAGAGGTTTTGACGGAATATAACGTTCCAAAATGAACATATATTTACACGACTGGCCCTGTCTATAACATGCATTATTAAAGTAGTAGCTTTACAACATGTAAAGGTAAGAGTTACACGCTAGCCTGTTTTTTTTATCTTTAAAAAACCTACCCTCAATGAGTATTTCTTTCTGAATGTCATAAAATAACTTACATATAACTTTTTAAGCCATGTTCTTAATATAATCTAGGTTTGTGACAATTGCTGGTATCTGTGCAATATATTTTTTGAGCTACTTATTGAATAAAGGCTCTTGCACCTCTTTATTGTTGGTGAGAAAGACAAACTGGACAGTTTTCCACCCATAAATTCTGGATGATGACGAACAAATAGAGACTTTGTTTACAGCATCCACCACTCATTTGAATATAAATATGATCTTAAAATATTTAGGGTTTTTGTATCAAATGAAAGAAGTCCTACTTAATATGAAATATTTATAATATATAAAACTTTCACAGAAACAAGTAATGTTCATTAGCCTTTGACTTTAGTTAATGGGAAGAACTAATCTGGATCTATATAAAAGGACGAATCAAACAGGGTTACTTTGAACAAGATGATCGGTGCTTCCAACAAGAACCAGTCTCAAAATATCAGATACACCTGTTTGGGCGTTATGTAATCTTTCTCTATGCGGAAAGGTAGAAATAGTGCCTTTATTGTTGAGTACATATTGTTATCAGATCTGGAAATAAGCTGCATAACAATTTACCTAGCAGTATAGGGGTCAGTAAATAGAAAATAATTTATAATAAACAAAAGTAGGGCTACAAATGATGATTATTTTGTAAATCGATTAATAATCGGCTAACCAAAGGTTCCTTTAAAGACTTTTTGCTAATTTTAACCAGGTGAAACTAAAAGTTTTGGATAGAGCATATTGACAGAAAAAAAAAAAAAAATTTTTTATCTTAAATGCAAAATGTTTACATATTTTTTGGTATAATTATTGCCTTAAGTGGGTTGCTCTGTCAGCTAAAGGCATGTTTTACAGTCTTTACACTCCATTAATCGATTACTAAATTAGTTGAGGATTATTTCAATAATCAATTAATCTGATTCATTGTTTCAGCCCTAAAAAAAAAAGCATAAAGTCATTTTTGCACTGCTAAAAAAATCCCTAAAACCCACCAATATCTGCCTTGTTTGTGTCATGGGAAAGAGCTTCATTCAGTTAAATGCTCAATGACTGCTGGGCTCCTAGAAATAGATCCTACACTGTAGTGTGGAGCCCATTTTAGCAGCCTAGTGCTATGTAATCAAAGGGATGATTATCACTAAGGGCAAACTTATGAGAAACTGTGGTCGACCACAGTCTGTGCAGCACGGCGGAGTTTGCGCCCTTTCATTTAGCCGTAGGACACAGACATGTCCTCTGGAAATTGGTACTTGTTTGTAGGAGACAGAACAGTCTCATTTATTTCTGCTTTTTTTTTTTTCTTTGAAGAAAAGGCTCCAGTTATTTCTACTCCTGCTAAAATATAACTCTTAAATCAAAATGCAAAGTAGTCTTTATAGAGCATCCTAAGTATAACAGGCTGACATTAAATGATTAATTAGTTTTGGTTTCTGCCAACCTCCAATTATCTGCTACACATGCTGTTTGTGGCTTACAACTGGAGTTTTTAAGGGATCGGTCGTTATCTTTCACTTTTCATGACCGTCTTTTTTTTTTTCCTAAGTGAAAATGCTTCTTAGCAGAAACCTTTGGTCTTTCTTTTAAGCAATGGAAACACCAGCTAACTAACTGCACGCAACAAAACAGATCAGCTGCCTCTTTTGAAGTAATAGTTTGCTTATTTTAGTGCATATGACAGGCTTAAAGAGACAAAATATATATTATTGGTGTAAAAGTGGTAATTGAACTAAAAAAAAAACACTTTTTTCATAGAAAATGGTTTCTAGATCTTAACTACTTTGCAAATATTTCCACATTTTTTTGTACGTTTTTTTTAACCTAAATATCCACTAATATTCCTACGTGTTTAAAATCTGTTAACAAAAACATAGCGAATTCTGTTAAGTGCTGGTTTTTGTAATTAAAGAAAGTTAAAATGAAACTTACTAATGTAAAGTTTATCACACTTTTTTCTCCCTATTGGTACCTCCTTTATTAAAAAAAAATGTGTGACATCACAATATCCTGTAAAACATGTCGTTAGTTTATGATTTTTTTTAAACTATTGTCTGTGTTTAATGATCTTTTCTTGCCTTATTGCCCTGATCTAAAAATGTTTCCTGGCAGTTATTTGCATTCCATCACTTCCTGAGCGCTGAGAGGCAACAGCAGCTTATATTTAGACATGTATAAAAAAAAAAGATGAGTCATATTTCACTGGAGTTGAGCAACAGATTAACAACACTGTGAGACTTCAACCTTTGAACTTGCTGTAAAAGAAAACTCACAAACGGATGATGCTTTTAAATTTAGCTTTGTTTGTTAAGTGGGATTATGTGAAATCACCACATAAAACACTTTTTATTGTACAGTTTATTCTTTAAATATGTTTGCTGCTCATATGGGGGCCTATCGAATTCACATATTGAGACCGATTTATTTGGTTTCTCAAATATGGGAGACCACTGGTCTAAAAATGACAGCTTTGACAATAACCTAATGGAGTAGAAGATTCCCAGTCATCCAGGTCATAGTCTTTCCAAAAAAAGAAAATAGAAAACTGGACCTCGTTTCCAGGTTTGAAGACGTTTCGCGTCATTTTGAATTGAAAAAGCTTCCTGGATGTGAAGCGAAACATCTTCACACTTGGAAACAAAGTCCAATTTTCTTTTTTTGCAATAACCTGAATTATTCAAGTTATTGCAGCATTCACCATGCCATTTTACTTTTTTACCCAGCAAATCAGACATGCTGACAAAATATCAGGTAAATTAAGAATCAATTTACAAATAAACATGCTTATTATGTAGGATTATATAAAATAACTCAAGTGTAACAAAGTAATAGCAGTAGCTCATCGGGGCCTTCTAAGTTATTTTGAGTAGCTGTTTACAATTAGCAAGTTGTTTTCCATGATTTTTAATGGCCCCCATAATTTACATTCAACAGCCGATTTAACGGCTGATCTTCTTCACCAATCATATCTACCCCTCTAAAGATGTGGAAACCGCCCACTGTCAATGCTTTAAAGCAGTTACTTCAGAAATGTTGTTGTTTCACAGGCAGTGTTTAATGTCTTTTTTTAGTAAGATAAAATTGAAACATCTTGTATCTTGTGATCTTATAACAAGAGAGTGTCAGTTATGAAAAGAAACAGTGTATTCTCATTATCAGTTCGTATGAAATCCTACGAAAAGTTATGGACAGTAATTTTGTACGTTTTTTACGTGTTTTTCGTTGTATTTCATCGTATTTTCACGTCTTGCGAGACAAGATATCCTTACGCACCATTTAATAACATAGAATTTAACATACAATTAACCCTAACCCTAACCCTAAGATATAAAACAGCAAGCAACGTAGTTAGAGACATGATGAAGTAATTACTGCACTGTTTTTCCCATTTTTACGTCCGTCCGCGGATCTGCTTTTTTCGTCTGTCTGGCTGCGCATGCGCACTGATCTGTATTTTCGAAGAAAAACGTCAAAAACGTACGAAATACTGTGCATAACTTTGCGTAGGATTTCATGCGAACTAATAATGAGAATATGTTGAAAGAAATTTGTATCGGTCAAAATCGGAAACAGCATGTCGGGCTTTTTAAAGATCAGGAATCAGTGATCGGTCAGAAAGCGGTAATCCGTGCACCACCAGTAGAATCTGTCTACCTTATAAGTGAAGGAGAAGTATGGAAGCTGCAACAGGTAGGGGAAGGGGGGCTACTCTAAACTACAAACCCACTGAGAAAACAGTGACGTCATTATAGTCTCTTATAGACCCACAGTTTTCAGTTTGTGTAGCTCTAAAATGCTACTTCTTTTAGTAAACTGAAGGAATTTCAATATGACGCTGATTTATGGATCAGTGCATGTATTCCAAGGCTTGCTGATGTTTTTTGTCAATAGGGGCAAGGGGCTGTTCGTTGATGCATTTCTAAACACAAACGATTGATATTTACTAGTTTGGATACCAGGAAAAATAAACACCTGTTTTAGCCATTTAAGCCTGCTGACTATAATAATCGAGATAAAATCATCAATTTTTGGTTTAAGAATGAAGAGTTGCTGCAGTTTTCTCTGAAAATTCTTTAAAGCAACTTTAAAGCCTTAAATAGGTATAAAACTAATTCTACGGATAAAAAAATTTGTTTTAAAAAGCATAGACAAACACCAACAAATACTCACAATGTGAGTTCTTTCAGAATCAGCTTGGGGGGATCCCAGGGACTCTCCAGGGCCGGACACATACAGGACGTTGGGGTTTAGTTTGGAAGCCATGACCGGTTTGCAGAAGGAGAACAGGTAAGAATGGATGAATTCAACGGCTGTGAAATATTCTGGATGAAAGAGGAGGGAGAGGAGAGAGATGTTAAAGCTGGGGACAAAAGCTCTCTTTTAAACAGATCTTTCTATTCAGGTCCCACTCTGGAAAAGATGGAGGGATGAATTATTGATAAGCAGATTTCTTTTTTTTTTTTTCTCCTAAAAGCAGAGAGTGCTCCAGGTTCTCAAAGTTGGGAACACATAAACAACAACCTTCCCATGCAGTTAAACCTCCCCTTCTCTACTTTGGCAGTCTATTAAGCACATTCACTTCTTTTTCTCAGTTCCTCTTAATTCTGCCAACTTTATTTGCATTTTTTAAAAAAGCAGCCCCTACTGCAGGCTGTTTAAAGTAAACAGTAGCTTCATTTCTTCTGATAGAAGTCCCGCAGCCGGTGACGATAAAGAGGTTCATAATCTTATTTTTAAGCAATAAATTCATAAAGCGGATGATCAGATGAGGAGCTGCGTGCTTCAGAAGCGTAAACGCGCGAGATCAGAACACTGAAATCCGATTTTTTTTAATTTTTTTATAAGATTCCAAATAATGATGATGAATTGTCGGCTTGTTGCGAGGCTGTGCGCGTGGCGCGCGTGGTGCGCGTGCGGGCTTTCCTTGATTACGATGCGGCCACGTTCTTCAAAAGGACCTGTCTGCATCTCACCACACCGCCTCTCCCGGTGGCACCCGACCTGACCACTGAGACAGTTTATGTTCAAAATAAAATGACCCAAAAAAAGGCAAAACGCTGGAGAATGAGCATATCTTTGATTCCGACGCGTCTTCTGACACATTTATAAACAATAATAAACAATAATAACGCACAACAGGCTGCGGAGCGCTTCATCATCATGCGTTTGCTCACATCCAGCACTTATTTATTAACTCCTTGCTTTTATTCGCTTCAGCTGTCATCAGAGCCGAAGCGTTCACGGTGTGTGCGGCCACCTCCTCCGCACAAACACGGACCCTCAATATAATAATAATGATAATAAAAACAGGGGCAGCTTCTACCTCCGGACGACACTCTGCGGCGGTGTCTCTCCTTCTCCCGGTGCCCGCCTGGGAGCCTCGTCTGCCGGGTAAGGCTAGTGCTGGCAGCCGGCGGTCAGCAGGCGCTCTCCGGTGGTGCTCGCCTTGCAGAGAGAGACGCGGTCACACGCATAGCGCCGGAGCGGCTGTGAATCAGGTAGGAAGAGGGGGGAGAGGAGCGGGGAGGGGAGGGGAGGCGGCAGATAAAAAGACAGAAAGAAAAAGAGAGAGAGAAAAGAGAGAGAGAGAGAGGAAGGGAGAGAAATGTGAAAGCGGCCGTGTTTGAGCCGCCTCAGAACGCTGTGCCGAGGTTAAACGGAGAGCAAATAACGCGCGCACGCAAGCGGGCACGACACGCGCGTGCACGATGTAGAGGGCGCGAGGATACAAACAGCCTGCACAGATGCGTATAAATAAACCCTATGCTGAGGAAGATTCTGCTCTTTATGCCTTACAGAAAACAAACAAACGAAAAAAAAAAAAAAAAAAAAGGCTTTTTTTTTTTTTTCCGGTTTTTTTTTTTTTTTAGGGACAGACCCCAAACAAAGCAGCAACTGATAGTTAAGTGTGTCCAGGAAGATGTGATTTTATAATCTCAGAATTATAACTATCGGTAAGCAGAGACTGTAGTTTCTTAGGGGCCCCCGACCTCTTAGGGCTGCCGTCATTGACATCTGTGAACTAGGACTTCTCTGTGCAAATTTAATGGTGTAAAAAATTCATCTTTAACCCACCTGGTACTGGGACCTTATTTATACCCCAACACATGTGAGATTTCAACATGATGGTCAGACGTTTAAACAAGACATCAATAGCAAAGCAGACAGTGTTACTTTTATTACTATGATAATAACTGTAGCTGGTAAAACACTCATGTTTCAAACCACAATAAAGATCTTAAAAGAACTATTTATTTGAGTATTTTATTTTTTACAATACGACTTGGAATTATGGGTAATTCAGAGCGTAGATTAAAACCATAACCGTTATGTACAATGTGTTAGTGATGGAGGGAGGGTAGGGTAGGTACTTCATATGGGGCCCACCCAGATAATGTTGCTTACAGGCCTATTGTGTGGTTAACGCCATTGTGCGGTACACTCTGTCTATTTATCATCTTTTCAGTAACGATACACCTCATGTTGACTCCAGAGTGAATTGTTGAGATAACCGCATCATGTTATGCTTTAAAGCGGAAACTAAATGGAGCTAAATACAAGCAATCCTTAAAGAATACCTGCAAATGATTTGGGAATGGGGTTAAGGTTCACATTGTACACCATTGGGCAAAATCAATGAAAAAATATGAATGTTGTCAAATAGTTGTGGCACATTCATTTTCTGACATGCTTAACCCCAGGTGGATTTGTGAGGGGTGCTGGTGCCTATCTCCAGCTGTCTACAGGCAAGAGGTGGGTACATCCTGTACAGCTCACCAGTCCATCGCAGGGCAACACAGTGACAAACATTCACACACACAGCTAAGGAGAAAGTAGAGAAGCCAATTAACCTCAACGTCGTGTTTTTGAACTGTGGGAGGAAGTCAGAGTACCCAGAGAGAACCAATGCATGCTCAGGGAGAACATGCAGAAAGACCCCGGTCCAGGAAACAAACCCACAACCTTCTTGCTGCAAGGCAGCAGTGCTACCCACTGCACCACTGAGCAGCCCTATATTAATCTATGTTTCATTAAATATGTGAATACAACTTTGTAAAAGGTCATGAAACCAGAACCCCCATGTTGTCTAAATCAGAATTTTCCAGCTTCTGTGTGTTTTTTTCCTTTGGTACTTACTACATAACCCTAGTCCTATGCCTGAGTTAATATTAATGGAAGATGGTTGAGCTCTAATAGTATATTTCGAGTTCCAAAAATTATTGGGGAAAGGTAAATATCTAAAAAAAATAGCTCTGATGTAGCTCAGTGCTGTTCCAATAAATAACATTGGTCTGTGGTTGTGTGTTTGTGTGTGGAGTAGGGTGGGGGAGTCTGCTAGCAAGAATGAAATGGATTAGATTAAAGGTCAAAGTAAGAACTGAGACGCAAATAAACGACTTGATGAATAAACCAATGATTACAGACACTTCTCAAGAATAAAAAAAGTAAATAAAAAACAAATGATTGAAATGCTTAAAATGAAATTGAGGACAAACTCATGTATGCATTTGCTCACCTTAAAATATCAAAAGTAATCCAGTCTCAATTTAAAATGAATAATAATCCCATCTCTAAGTGTTTTTTGAGAAAGTATGGACTTTACTTAGCGTCCATAACCATTTCATTGCTCAGTGATGAGATATGGATCATGACCAAAGCTGACCAAATGAGCCTTATCTGTGGGGTGGCCAGATTTAGTCTTTGAGACAAGGCAAGGAGTTCCATCATCTGGGGGTAGTTTGAAGTAGAGCCACTACTCTTCCCGGGTGAAAGAAATCCGTTGATCAGGATGAATATATGGAGCCTTAGTTCCCATGTCTGTCCAACATAAAGGAGACCCTGGAAAAGAACAAGATCCTACAGTTAGTGTATAGATGATAGATAGATGGGGAATTGGTCCCTCACTCAAATCAATTAAGTTTAGTTATATAGGTCCAATTCACAACACATGTCATATGAAGGCAGTTCACCAGATCATCTAGTTAAATTGATTCAAAGTTTTCTATCTAAGGAAAACCAGCTGATTCCATCGACTCATTGACTGGAAGGCAATCCCTCACACTAGGCACGCTTGTAGCGATAGTGGAGAGGAAAAATTTCCTTCTAACAGGAATAAACCTCCAGCAGAACCAGGCTCAGTGTGAGCAGCCATCTGCCGAGGCCGACTGGAGTTCAAAAAAACAGAAGCTGAGATACAAAAAGCAACTGTAAAAGGCGGCCCCGTCCAGGAAACACACAGCCAGGTAGACAAGCTCGGAGCCAGCTCCCGTGTCAGAGGATGAAGGGAGCACATCCAGCCAGTCACAGTTAGAGAAACAGGACTACACTGAAAAACAGGCCGATCTCGAACATCAGGTGTTGATGGCAGCAGCACAGCAGATCTATCCAGGATGGTGTCACAGCCAAACAGGAACAGACGAGGCAAAGCTACTCTGAGAAAAAGAAGAGAGAGCATAATGTTAGAGATTGAACTAACAGATTCTCCAGACAAATGGAGATAGAATGAAGCAAAATGATGAAAAAGGGGTCCCTATGTCCTCCAGAAGTCTAAGCATATAGCAGCAAAACTAGCTCAGGATAAGCTAACTATAAGCTTTATCAAAAAGGAACTTTCGAAGCCTATTCTTAACCCTGTAATGCCAAATGTATAATATTTGATACATACGGTTTCTGAAATGTTTTGCGTCTGACACCTTTTGCATAATTTAATGGTAAAAACTTTGCTCAAAATCCTATTGTACACGATCAGATATACCTGATAACAGCGGGTAGAAGACTACACAAGACATAATCTTGACTTATGGCATAGTAATAAATTATTAATATCAAAAATGTATTTCTGTTTTTTCTTTTTACATATTTTGTTAAAAAGGCCAAATAAGGACTTCAAACAAAAAAAAAGTAATTTTCTGTTTTGTTTTATTCTTGGATCGGGCTTTAAAGGGTTAAAAATAGACAGAGTGTCACCCTCGGACTAAAACAGATAGCTGGTTCCACAGGAGAGGATTCACAGATTCCTTTGGATTGAATTAGAGGGCTATTTCAGTTTTGTGCAGAAACTGGGCATTTAATAAATTCCAGTTTGCACATCTATACTGGATTATTCTACTTCAAAGAGAGATTTATAATAAAAACAACATTTTTGCAGAATGAGCTTCATTGGGTTGGTAGCATTGAGTCTTTTAGTGAAAGGCTGTTTTGGATTGTAACAGAAGATTAATGTAGAACTCAAAGATTTATAACCACATTTAATTAAATCAATGCACTAATTGACTCTTGAATTAACAGACTTAGTTATGTAGCTTATTGATAGAATAACAATCTTTCCCTTAGGCCTATTTAGCAGCTTTTTTTGGTGCTTTCAGTACTAATAAATGAGCACCAGGCGCCAAATAAGTTGAGTATGTTGAAAGCTCAATTTCTTTTAAAGTGCTTTCAGATTGACATGAGTGATTTATTTTCCAATCCTGCAGAGACCAGTAGAGGCACATGTAATCTTTGGGGCCGAGTGTGTTTAGCTAACTGCTGTATTTCTGCTTGACATTTCAGAAGGCATTGGGACTCACTGTACAGTACAAATGTAAACAGATTCAGTTTAGATTCATGTGGCTTATTAGATTTCCCTTTCCCCAAAGGTTCATGTTGTTGTTTGTTGCTCATTATTGCTTTGACTACCAAAAATGATTATAGTAATTATTGATTTTCAAGGTAAAATACCAATGATTTTGAAATGATAGTCCAGCAGAAAGGAGTGTTTATTGATCAAATTAAAGGAAATGGACACAATTTTTCAACTCCTGAAGGTATATAATTAGACTGGATTATATTTAGTGGCATTCAAGCTAAATAAGTCAGAATTTATTCATTTACCATGTTACTTAACTCTTGTCTACTTTGTCATCTTGTCAAAATTCCAATAAAATACAACTATGTGCCTGCAACATCCCAATATGTAACAAAAAGTGAAAGTGGAACCATCTGCTTTATTTGCCTGTTTGACGCCCTCATGACTCATGAACATCACTCCCATTGCACCACATGAGCAAACTCTGACATGTACCTCACATAGACATAAAGTCCAAGTCCCTCTGTGCCCTAAGTAAGTAGGTCCACACTGCTCAAGAGGATCCTGCAGCTACTTTCGACCTTGTGTTGCAACATTCCTCGTGCAGGCAGCAACACATCTGCCTTTCCTCAGACGCTGTCCAGACACGATTCCCAAACCCGCTTTTGTTCTCGACTAATCTGCATTTTTGGCTCCCTCAAATCTTGACTTTTTGGCTGATTGGAGGTGAAATTGGAGCTTTGTGAACAGAGCTGCCTTTTAGGGCACAGAGTCCACATCTAATAAAGTGCTCAAGCTCCAGGAGAGGTGTCTGCATTAATGAGGTCTAGAGCGAAACATACTTCCACAAGGACACAGGCAGACACAAACACATGTACCTTCTTAGCACACACACTGGCACCACTGAGTGCAAGAGTAATTTGTTTGCAGTTGATTAAATATTTATGGGGAATTAGCTGTGTGTCTGCCAACAAACACTTGATTAACACTGTATGTCCCTTTTTTGAGCCT